GAGAGGTGTGGGAAAGGGACCATCTCTTAAGAACTCACAGAGTTAACTGAGGAGATTTCATTAATGCAGAAGAATGGGATGCAACTTATCCCCCAAGTTTTAAAATACTGCTTAATAAATATGTTTGCATTTGCTTGTATATGTATAAAGAACTTAAAGGACCTAAGAGCTGAAAACAACAGTGCAGCTACAGCAAGGTGGGAACCCAAGTGGAGGGTGAGGATGGGAGAGAGTTTTTACTGGTTATTTTAAACATGTTTTTAAACCATGTGAATACACTATGGTGTATTGTAGCCATCACTGGCTTAAAACATCCCTATTTACAAAAAAGAAATTCATTTTTCTAATGAATACAAAATACGCCCTAAAAGCAAATCTTTCACATTCACAAAATCAGCCTACTAAAAGAAAGACACGCATGTGAGGAGTGGGAGTGACAGGAACCTAAAAGGCATCTGACACTCATCACTCAGGCATCACCCCAGAGATTCTACCACAGCCCCAGAGAGTCCCTCTTCTGTAGGTGGGCTTCTACACACCTTCTGCCTCGTGCTCTGTGTGATTCACAGAGAAGATGGGGTGGAGAACTCGGGACATGATGGGAGGAGGAAACATACCATTCTCCACTGGGTAGACGGGGAATCAGAGTGGGATGTAGTCTCCTGTAATTCATAATTTTTTACATCAGGCCAGAATTCTTCCCACACGCCCTCTCTTCTTTTCCCAGTGTGTGTGCCACATTTATATGCTTTTTCCGGTCACCTCAATTACACTGGCTAATGCCGTGTTTATTTCTGCCTTCTAATAAACTTTATTTTTTTAATAGAAACTTTTATTCAACCTCACTTTCAACTACCATCCTTTGTCTCATACTGCTTTCACAACCCAATTCATTGAGCCATTAGGAATGATTCTCTCTCACTTCTTAATCATCTACCTCCACTCTTCCATTAAGTCCCTTTTTCTTTAAGGTCCTCACTGACTTTTTTTAATTCTTATTTTTTACTGAAGTGTAGTCAACTTACAATGTTAGTTTCATATATACAGCAAAGCAATTCAGTCATACATATACATACATACATATTTTTTCAGATCCTTTTCCATTATAGTTCATTATAAGAAACTGAATATAGTTTCCTGTGCTATACAGTAGGACCTTGTTGTTTATCTATTTTATATATACTAATGTGTATCTATTAATCCCAAACTCCTAATCTATCCCTCCCCCTGATTCCCCCTCTGGTAACCACAGTTTGTTTTCTATGTACATGAGCCTATTTCTGGTTTGTAAATAAAATTTGTACCTTTTTTTTTAGATTCCACATATAAGCAATGTCATATGATATTTGATTTCTGTCTGATTTACTTCACTTAATATGATAATCCCTAGGTCCGTCCATGTTGCCGCAATGGCATTATTTCATTCTTTTTTATGACTGAGTAATATTCCATAAAATTCCATATATATATATATATATATATACCCCACCTTTTTCTCAGTGACTTTTTAAAACAAAACTAAAATTTTGGGGTTTTTTTCCTTTGCCCTATTCTTCTTGATCTCCATTTTGCAAAGAATGAAGCTAATGTTCATCTTACTAAACATCTCTTTTGCTTTCATTTGCTTAATACCCAGGCAATCTGTCCCTTCCTGGTCCCAACAACTGGGCCTCTTCCTTATTTTTGCCTCATAATTGGGATAAAACTTGAAACTCAGGGGTCACTCTTTTCTCTTCTCTATCCCTCAATCTCTCAGGGAATTCTTGTAGTCCTAAGACTTTATCTAGTGCGAAGAGCAAAGCAGATGGAGCTTGAAGCTTGGCTCTATGACTTATTAGTTATACAGATTAGGAGAAGTGATTTCATCTCTCTGAACTCACTTCCTCTACTCCGAAACAAGGATTCATTTCTTCTTTCATGCAACAGTCTTTACTAAGCACACGCTACGCAGCAGGCAATGTTTCAGGTACATGAGCAAACCAAACAGATAAATATTTCTGCCCTCACAGAGCTCCCATTCTAGCAAGGGGAGATAAAAATTAATAATAACATACATACTAAATAAGAGAATTATATAAAATGACAGAGTATGGTGAGAGCTGTAGGGAAAAAAAAAGAAAAAGAGGTCATATTACACCTTTTTAAAGGTGGTCACAGTAAGTTCCCCTCAGAAATTATTATTTGAGCAAAGACTCAGAAGAGGTGAAGGAATTAGAAAGAGGGCATCTGACAGAGAAGGTGCAGCCAGAGGGAACTGACGAAAGGCAGGGGTGCACCTGGCTTGTTCCAGGAACAGCAGAAGGCCAGCGGGAACAGAGTGAAGTGAGCATGGGGAACAGAAGTTGGATATGAGGTCAGAGAGGAAATCAAGGGGCAGCCCATGCAGGGCCTCTAAATGCGGTGGGAGCTGTTTCAGGGTTTTGAGCAGAGGGGTGATAGGTTCTGATTTATGTTTTAAAAGAATCACTCTGGCTACTATGTTGGGAAGAGACTAGTAGGAGCAGGAAGGAAGTAGAGATACCAGTTAGGAGGCTACTGCATTAATCCAGACAGGAGGTGAAGGTGGCTAGGAATGGAGTAGGAGCCCTGGAAAGGAGGAGAAGCACTCAATTAAAGATAAGAAAACCACCTTGTAGGGTATTATGAGAATTTTATCAGAGAATTCCTGCAGGTAAAGTCTCCAATATTTGCCTGATACAAGGAAGATGTTAAATAATACCCTGTCTTATTATGTTGTATTTTTCTGGTAGAAAAGGTTCTCTGGGTCACTACATGGAGAAGATCAAAGCTTGAATGTGATATCCAAGGTCACCTGACCTGGAGACTGGCAGCCACTCTCACCTGAAGTATTGAAAGGAGGGTGGGCTGAGGAAGGGGCTTAATCTTTCAGCCTTCACATCATATCTCACCTCCAGGACAGTACTTCCAATGGCCTATGAGACATTTCCTCTTAAGAGTTTCATCACATACTCAATATCGATGTATATATTTGTTTTTTTTTTAATTACTTGCCTCACCTCCACCTCAAGCCAGATAATACCCATTCAAATGTTTCCTTCTAATAAAGCTATGCTAGTCCCTAGAGGCTGAAAACTTAGTTTCATCTTTGTAGAATTATGGAATAAAAGGATGCTCCCATTGGAAGCTGGTATTGTAGCCATCACTGGCTTAAAACATCCCTATTTACAAAAAAGAAACAAGGCCCAGATTGGAACATGACTAGCCGTGGGCCGCGAGTGCCTTTAATGACTGAGACAGGTCTAGAACCAGTTTCTGGATCTCGTTCACTTCCTCAGCAGCCCTCCTCCATTCGCCCATCCCCATCACAGCAGTCCCCTACCTGGATTGCCACAGGCATCTCCATACCAGTCACCACCATCCATGGCTGTCATGACCATCTTTCCTGTTATTGCCAACTAAGCCTCCCAGAAAGGCTACTGGAGGCCATGGCCTATACTGCTTCAAGTGTGCTGGCTCTGGGTTCAAATTCTAGCTCTGCTTTCACTAGCTGTGAGGCCTTGAGCAAATTTCCTCACCTCATCCTGCCTTAGTGTCTTCATCTGAAAAGTTCTTACTTCCCAGGACTTAAGTAGAATAAGGCATGTAAAGCTATCAGTGCAGAACCAAGTACAAAATAAGAACCTAAGAATGCTGAGTTATTTTGAGTTGTAGGACTATTCTCAGTCCCTTTCAGAGATGTTACCGTGGATGCCTGATGAACAAATTCTAATTGTCTTTGTCTGGCCTTGCAGCAACCAGGTCTGTTAAATGTATGGAACTTCTATTGCTCCCTGTTCACTGACCTTCCAGTCAGGACAGCTCTCTGTGCACACCAATGTCATGTTCATTCCCAATCCCCACCTCTGTGCTTTGGTCAATACTCTTTCTATGTGAAATGCCCACCTTCCTTCTCTCTGTCTAAATCCTGGCACATCCTTCAAAGCTCCAGTGAAGGTTTAGCATTTCACAAGTACTCCCCGGGCAAATCCCAGCTCAGCTGATATTACTTCTCCACAATACTACAGTATTCACACATAGCACATTTGGATTATTTCCTTATGGAGAGGGCTGGGAGCACTTAGTTAGGAGTATGGATTCTGGAGTATGGATTCTGCCTGGTCTCTTTCAGTGTCTCCATATACATAATATGGAGCTGCTGTCAAATTGGACACATGAATACTTAGTAAAACAATTATTAATATATGTTACTATTATTATATATTGCTGTTGACTTTTCCTTCTTTTAGGTACCTTCATTTTCTTCCTCCAGGTTATTCTGTCTATATATGTACTACACTTTTATCCAGTGTCTTAAATCACAGCTTGTATTAAAGAGCTGAGTCCTGAGAATTTTGATGTCCATCTTTAAAGATTTCATCATATCTAATAATTTGTTCTAAAAGTGTAGATTTACCCAAAATATCAACTCCCCATTTCAGAGCCCATGGATGGTATAGAGTATAGGTAGCATGGTTATTAGCCAGAGGCCTCAAAAAGGAAGAAGACTGAACAAAAATAAAGATTCCTAAAAAATTAGAAAAAATCTGGTCTATTGCTACAAGAAGTTAACAATGAAGATGAGAAAGCTATTCTGGGTTTAGAACCAACAAATCAGAAAGCACTGAGGGCAACTGGAACATTCCAGTCACGTATTCCTGAGGTACTGGTGTGTGCACAGCTACTGTCCTACTTTATTTCGTGGCTGCTCATGGGGCTCCACCACCCCTCAGGAGCCATGCTGGGCTTGAGCAGTATGAACAGAGAGTTCTGACCAGGCAGGGACACATCAAGTGAATGCTCTGACCAGGGCAGCTCCTAGTGATGTACTCTGTCACAAGGCAGTGATCGCTGTGTTTTTTCTTTTCTTTCTTTGGGTAATCAGTTACATTTATCAAAAATAGCAACACATTTGATCATGGGGTGGGGACGAGCTGACCTTTTCCCAGCAATACTTCCCCAAATCAGGTAAGAAATCATTCAGATTAAGAAGACCACTTTACCTCTATTTTTTCCCATATGGCTTCATAGTTGTCTTGGTGTTGAATATCTTGCATCAGTTTCTGAATTAAAGCAGACTTTGTAGTGGAATGACTCTCATTCTTCTCAGAGGAGGAAGCTCTCTCTGACTTCTCATCAATGTATTTTTTCATGCCAGAGAGAGGCATATACAGCTCCTCGTCAGAAAGAATGTCACTCAGGGGGCCAGATTCAACGCTCTCCCCTAGTGAAGAGGCTATGTCACTGGAGGAGCTTGGTGACACCCTGCCTAGCCTCGTATGCTTCTTCTTGACATGGTACGTTGGGTAGATCTCAGAATCTGAATTCATTTCAGACAGTTCCCAGTCATCAATATTTTGAATGGTTTCTCCTCTGGGTTTCTGAGGCAGAAGCTTTGTTAGGTTTTCCAACTTCAAAGCTAATACTTCTGTCTGCTTAAGGTGAGAGGGCAGCGCTAGGTATTCATCAGAGCCATACCAGGCCTCCACAACCTGACCATTCCTGGTGACATGACTTGGGGAGGAGGAGTAACATTTTTTGCTTTTGTGTTCTGAAAGGATGGATCCCGGAGACGTGATGTCGTCTGAGCCAACAGAAGATTCGCTGCTTTGAGTAAAAGGTGGTGAACTAGATGTTTCTGACTGCACTGGTAATTTGGCATTCCAGCTTCTCTGATGACATGGCTCCACTGAGGATGTGGAAGCCGAATCTGTTTCTGGCCCCGCTACGGCCTTGGAAGTACCAGAAGGAATTCCATTCGGCACTACTGAGCTTCTGGTGTTTTCGGCTTGCTTGCCTGAACTGGGCTCCCATTTAGGTGTTTGGCATGGAGACACCTCTTCTGCAGGCTTCTGTGGCTTTTTAAGTTGAAGTTTCTCTTTATGGCAGTTGTTAAGCCTCCCCAGGCTGGAGGAGATTTCCTTAATGTGCCTTTTGATTGTGTTTTCAAGATTCCCGTCCCCGACCTTGTGCAAACACTCATAGGACTGGCTGGCAGCAGAAGAGCTATTGGGGTAAGAAGACTGCAACACTAGGCAAAGCTTGGATCTGTCAAGAGGATCCACCAGGGAAGGGGTGCTTCTGCTCATCTCAGGCTTGAGAGCCACCATCTGCTTCTTTCCACTTGTGCCTTTCAGATTATTCTTAAAAGTCTCCTCTTTAAGGAAAAGCCCTCTTTTTGGCAGCGTGGGCTGTGTGGGAGAGTCCTCATTATAATTAAAGCAATCTCTGATGGATCGCTTAGGGGTTGCATTTTCATAAGGAAGAGGCTGTTCATTCTTTGCCCCAAGTTGAGAAGGGTAGCCAGACTCTTGCTTCATAGTCTCAGAAGAGGGTTGAACAGCATTTGGCAGAGCTTCCCCTGAAGATGGCGGCCCCTGCGTTAAGCCTGGTTCCTCCTCACCTGTGGACGCATTGTTTTCCTCATCTCCACCTCTGTCATCTGCTGAGAGAGATACTTGAGACGTCTCCTCATTAACTGCTTCGCTGAAGTTGGAAGGGATGGGGTCAGTAGCCACCGTAAGTAACCCAACACTTCGGATGAGCTCGGGGAACTCCTTTTCCATCTCACTGTAGCTCCAAGAGTCAAAAGTTTTGGTTTTGACCTGGCTAGAGGTCATATCACCCAGGCCACTGAGTAAATCCTCACTTGGACTGTAGTCAGACAGTTCGAAAGCAGTAATACCACAATCCAGAGACAAGTAATTTTGAGAGCATTTGATAGTTAACTGTCCTGAGTCATCCACTTCTGTCAGAGCATCCAGGCGGCCCTGAAACAGACAACGGAAATGGTTTCAATAAATGCAACATTACACTCAACTGCTGCTCACATGAAATTTCAGCAGAGGCCACTGTAAAGGTAAAAAATGCATCAATCTCAGTTGCTTCTGGTTTGAGACAAGGAAAGAAAGGCATATTAATTCATCATCATATTGCTTTATATGGTACCCTGTTCTTAAATATTTAAGAATTTTTCTGGAGAACAGAGCCTTGCTAGAAATGGTCAAGTGCAAGCCAAAAATAACCATTCTTGACTGAACTTTCTATTTTAAAATAGTGTATTATTCATTTAGTAAGCATTTCTTAAGTGATGCCTTAAGTAATAACAACATTGAGAACAAAGTAAGAGTAAAATCTCCATGAATGGCTCTTTTGTTTATTGCAAATGTCTCCTTGAATGTCTCTTTTGCTCATCACTTTATCACCCACAGTGGCTACCTCAAAGTAGATGCTCAGTAAATATTTTAAACTGGAAAAATTAATTATACTAAGTCTGTTGTGTTGAATAAATATTCAAAAACCACAGGAAAGTGAACTATTGTATCTACATATATTACAAAAACAATTCAGACCAACTTCTATTTGTACCTGCTCGTTTGAAGGGAAACACAGGAAATCCTAGAGAAAATCAGTGTGTCAAAACTACATCATCTTAGCCCCCATCCCCTCCCTCTGCATGCATTCTCCCCCTTCCTCCTACCTTAATCTCCACTCCCATTTGGGTATGTTAGATACCAGGTGCCCACCTTCCTCGTTATTTATAATTTAAGGTAGGCTGATTTGAAATTCTCCTGTGCTAAAAAAATAGTATCATAAGTAAATGTTTTTAATTTTTTAATCTTTAGTTATGTGATTAAGGTTCTTGTCTCATTACTAATGCAGTTACTAATATCACAAACAAATGGGGAGAATTTTTTACTGATATTTGTTTGGGACAGAGGGACCATGGAATCCTATTACACCTACCAGGCTAAGGGACAGCTGGTCTAATCTAGCCCCGTAGGAAGTGAAGGAAGAAAACTGAAAGGTGAAGGGGTGGTTGTATCCCCAGACCTCTGTTCTTCCTAAGGAGGAACCAGGTGACAGGATCTGTCCTTTCAACCAGGCTATCCTGAGATCTGGCTTCTCCATGACCTTACATCAGGTTTCTTGATTCGTTTGTTTGTTTTGTTTTAAGGATGCTCTCTCCCTTCAGATCTTCATCTTGCCTCTATCTCCTCATCCCTTCACTCTTATTCCACAGCATCCAGATAAATAATAATGATGAAAAGCTTCATTTTACTTTCCTAAGCCTCCATGCCCTCATCTTATAAATGGGGATGGTTGGTTACTATTACATTTTCATTTAATCCTCACAAAGATTTTCTTCTGGGGTCTGTACAACTGCCGCTGTTTTACATAAGTGGAGCCTGAGCCAAAAGAAAGTACATAACTAGCAGATTGCCTTTGACTAAGGCTGAGCTAAGCCTTGAACGAAGGCTGTCTGACTCAGAGTCCACACTCTGACCTCTGTGCCATAATTTTCTCTGATGCGTTGGATGTTAAATGAACACCCCCCCCTTCCAGTTTGTCCTCCACGTTGACACCAGAGTAATCTTTACAGACTGCAGATCTGATGCTATTACTTCTCTGCTTCAAGTCCTTTATTAGCTTCCTGCTGCTAGGTTAAAACCCAAATCCTTCAAGGACAGATATTAAGAGACCTCTCTCTCTCAAACCACTCTCCCTTCCCTGGCTGCACCTGGCCACAGTGTCCCACTCTCAGTTTTTGAATATATTGTGTTCCTCCTGCCTCAGAGCCTTTGCACATGCTATTTCCTCTGCCAGGAAAGCTTTCCACCTGCAACGACCATAACTGGTTGACTCTTACTCACTCCTCAGACCCCAGATTCAGTTTTACTTCTTCAAGATTCCAAACCTCTACCTAAGTCAAAATCTTTTCTTATAATCTCTCAAAAAACTCTGTTGTTTTTTTCTTTAAACATTTATCTCAATCTCTAAAAAAAATACTATTGTGATTATTTGATTAATTTATTTCTCCCACCAGTCTGTAAGCACCACAAGAGTACAAATCATGGAAAATGGTTGACTCACCAGAATACCTGCAGCACTCAGCATAGTGAGCTGGATAGAGCAAGCACTCAAAGACACATTTGTTGAATAAATGAATGAAGGAAGGAAGGCATTTTGGAATGTATCTCTATGGCTTCATGAAATTTCTTCCTCTGATTATGTAGTTTTGGTTGATCCCAGTGATTAAAGGCCCACACCTCAGAGCCAAATTCCAGCTCTAGCAGTAGGTACATATGTGACCATGAGCCAGCAGCTTGATGTCACTAACCTTCATTTCCTTCATTTGTAAAAATAAAGTGATAAGCCACATCCTAGCACTGCTGTGAGGCTTAAAGGAGATAAAATATGTAAGACACAAGTCTGGCACATGGATAGGTGCTCAATGAATGCTTATTCTTATTACTTATTACATTTTTTTTTACTAATCAAATATATCAAGGAGGAAAATTTCATCAAAATGAGAGGTATCCCTACACTAAATTACACTGCACAAAGTGAAAAACCAATGTTAACTTCCAGTCTCAACAAAAATGATCTAACTGGAATTGTGTGGCTTATGTGCTTCATACCTGGACTAAGCTCTTTAAAGAACTAAGTCAGAGGCCAAAACGAATTCCTCACCAAAGAATGAGCCAGCCAAACAAAAGTCACAGTTTATGCAATTTTTAAGAGAGTAATAGTGGAAATTCCAATTTAAAGGCAGGTTGCATTTTTTAAAGTTTTTTTAAATTTGGCTGTTCAATGCTACAAAACATTACAAAAACAGTATTATAAATAATGGTTGAGTTTCAAAGCTATCCCATAAGTTGATATTTAAATTATTAACTAGTTGAAATTTGCATTTTAAAAATTATTTTTATTATAAAGGTACAGCAGCCCTGTAGCTACTTAAGTGAGGTTAAAGAGGCATTAAGGAAAAGTGTTTCTATGATGAGGAGAAAAAAGAAATGTGAGGGTTCAGGTAAAAATTAGACCCATGAAAATATCAGCCACCTGCTTCTGGATAGGCAAGGGATACCCTAATGCTGGGAAAGCATTTGATCCCCATTTTGGTGGTTACACAACCTTAAGACCCAATAATAACTGTCTTGCTCAAAAATAACAGGCACTCAAACGATGTTAGATGAATACATGGCATGAGACATCTCAGATAATAGGGTATGGCTGCCTTTTCCTAAGTCTTCCCCTGAAGATCCCTTCCCTAGCCAGCCCTGTGTTTGGAAAAGAAAATACCATACTCAGAAACACTTAATGCTCCACATAGAGCTCTCTCCCAGCCTGTTTCCAATCAGGACAACTATTGCTGTGCATGCCTGAGTGTCACTCAGGGGTAACTAGTCTTAATTCAAACCACATTTTTAATGTGGAAAAAAAAAATCCCTCCCTGAAAAACAAAACAAAGAACAGCACATAGCATATGCATTTCATATCCTAAAGACTTAAGTGACAAGCATCTACTCATATATTTTTTAACACAGTTGGTTATTAGTCAAGACCATTCTCCAAAACTATTTTTTCTAGATTTCACCATGCAGAAGCAATTAAAAAAAAAGTTCTCTGAAGTTTCTCAGAGCAGATAAATAATGAGTTTCATTTCTTAAAATATTGCTTAGTAATACTAATATTTTTAGTCCCAATGCTTTCTTCTGGACCAACTTCCCAGACAGTTTTCTAATGTGTGTAAGTAATAAAGTCTCAGGTGGATGTGGAGGTGGGGGAAGAGTGCATGTGTTTTTACTGGGGTTTTTATTTTAGCAATATCACATTTTATTGTGCAGTGCCTTTAGCAGTGTCACGGCTCCCTAGCAATGTCCAAGTAGAAATACACCTCCACTTAATATGTTATGAAACAGTTTCTCAGATGAAGGTTATGTTTATGGATATGGCAATTTATTTACTTTACTGATGAGTAATTTACTAACTTTATTGCTGCCTTCAATTTTGTCTCAGACATCAAGGAAACCCCTTTCCCCCCTAATCTGAAACAAGAAATTTTGCTTTGTTCCTCACCCATAAATAAGTTAACTGAAATTCTAGTTCCAAATGCCTTCTTAGATCTTTCTTTTTTTTTAAACTGAATCTTGTCACCAACTGAACAAGAGATTTAATACTCATAATTTAAAAATTTGAAGTTCTCCCTATTAAAATGTCATCAAGGTTTACATTAGTGTCCATTGCCATTTCAGGGTCAATTTTGTGCCCTGATTTAGTGATCTTACTCAGAAGAGTTAGAAATAGAATTTCACTGTTTTAATTATGGGTACAGCAAAAATTTTGTATGTGTCTCTCTCTCCCCTTCCTCCCCTAATTCATTACATAGTATTTGTCATGCTTCAATTACTAACATATAAATTCATGGACCTCTTATAAGAATGCTGCCACCCCCCAGAGTCCTCAGTTCACATGGTCTAGACTCTTGCTCAGATTCCTTTCAGCTCTACCATGTTGGGATTCTATGATTCCAAAGGCATTCCAGAGAGCAGCAGTGGACTAAAAGGAACAAGTAATGATAGGGAAACGGGAAGCAAGGCAAAGTTTAGTTTCTGATGGGCAAAGGGAAAATACACAAAACTTTTCAATATTTTTATTTATACTATGGTAATACTTCTGAGAATTTCCTTTTCTACAGGCTGAAATCATGAGTCAAATAATTAATCTCCATGATTAATCCCAGTCCACCAACTTACAGTGATATTTCCCTCTTCTACACCTAAAGCAGTAATTATCTGTGTTGTTTACTTCAGTTCAACTAATCAGACTTTTATATACAGCAATATGAAGTAGGTGCTATGGGAGATACAGAGATGATTATAATCTGGTGTCAACACTCATGAAGTTCAAATCCAGCACATACTTTGTCATAATATAAACGGCCCTGTGATCAGTGCTAGTGGATGAATACAAAAAGTACTTCAGTGTGACGGCTCTGGGAGGACCAACGTGTTCTCACTGAGAGGGTATCATTCAGATAAAGTACTTACCACACCATTTGGCATATGGTAAGTTCTTTATCAATGTTTGCTACGGTGTTAATACTATTAACAGTTATCACTACTAGTGTGACTACTTCTCTTAACCTCAGTCCTTATCTGTAGGATGGATATAATAATACCACCTGTAAAATAAGGATAAGAGCACTTGCCTTGCCTACCTCACGGAACTGTTTCAGGATCTGATAAAATTATGAAGGTGATTCCTAACATTTAATAACATGTATTATTCATATTTGAATGCCTAGTGCCTTATAGAGAGTAAGAAATCAGAATATTTAGAGCAGGTAGAAAGGAAAGTAGGAAGGAAGGGAGGAAGAAATAATAATTATTATTACTGCAAAAGAGATCAGTTAAGAGCTGGTTTTATTCATTTCATTTAATTATTCCTAGATTTATCTTCTTAAGCATTTACTTAACCTCTCTTAAATTCAGTTTTTCCAACTATAAAATGGAGCTTTTTTCAAAACTGAAGTAGAGCTGATTACAATATTGTGTAAGTTTCAGGTATACAATGGAGTGATTCAGTTATACATATTTTTTCAGGTTCCTTTCCATTACAGGTTATTACAAGGTACTGAATATAGATTCTTGTGCTAGACAGTACATCCTTGTTATTTTTCTATTTTACATATAGCAGTGTGTATCTGTTAATACCAAACTCCTAATTTATCCCTCCTCTCCTCTCTTTCCCCTTTGGTAACCATAAGTTTGTCTTCTATGTCTGTTAGTCTGTTTCCATTTTGTAAATAAACTCATTTGTATTATTTTTTAGATTCTATATAAATGATACCATATACTATTTGTCTTTCTGCCTTACTTACTTCACTATGATATTCTCTGGGTCTATCTATCTTGCTGCAAATGGTAATATTTCATTCTTTCTTATGGCTGAGTAATATTAAAATGGAATTATTTTTAATACCCATTACCCTCCTTACTAAATGAAATAATAAATATAAATTGCTTATCACAGTATCTGGAACATAGAAAATTTCAGTACAACACATTTTTTACACAATGTTGAACTTTGCCCGAAAGTATTTTTTGTTTGTTCAACTGGTTTTGTTTCAGTAAGGCATTTGCCAAATTGTTTACAAGATATGAACTGCTCCATATTTAAATAAAAGAATATAACTCATTTTGTACTTACAAGGACAGAAAGAGAACTTGCCACTTTCCCAACTTTCAAACTTATTCTTGAATGGGCTCTGAAACTTGACTGACTTCCAAAAACAGAAAAATGAATTCACCTCCACTGAGAGGACGTCTACCATTCTAGTTTATCTGCATGCTTTATGACATTTCCTTCTTCATTTTGTAAATCTTTTACAGCTGAATTTATTCTGATAAAGCTGAGAATTTCATCCTGATTCCCTTCCTTTTTTCCACAGTTCCAGTGTGCTGGCAGAAACAAACAAAGCTAACAAACAGGATTAGAAATCCATAGCTTCAGGAAGGGTGGTAATGGAGACAGTGCTTCAGTTTATAGAGAACTATCCACATGGTGTCAACACTCATGAAGTTCGGCAGATGGCTGAGAATCCACTGTTCCTTCACCCCTCATACAACATATTCTTGCATCTCTACAACAAGACTAAAGACTGACTTCAAACATGAAAATGCAGGAAAATGCTTCCAATTGGCTCTATAAATAGTTGTTGAGCTCACATTCTGAGAGCCAAAATGGGTACTACTTAATATAAACTCACAACATGGCTGTGAAAACAGTGGCCAGTAACAACTAGCTAGTCTCAGTGGCTTTTCATCTTTCTTGGGCTACTACTTTGTGAATAATACAAGTTCAAATAAATGCAGGATGAACATTTTCCACAAAACAATAAAAACAATAACAATAAACCCTAGGGCACTTTTATACCCCGAGGCACTTTCATACCTCTAATTTGAGTTGGTAATCAGTAAATACTCATGGAATGAATAAATGTGTAAAATGAATTAGTTTGACTCAACAATTTCTAATCCCCTCCAGTAGCAGGCAGTGGGCGGATCTGATGACTGATCAATACTGGATGTTGGACAGAGCCAGAAGAACACATGGGTAGAGACCAAAAAAAAAAAAAAAAGAATGTATCGATTGGAGGTGCCAGGTAGATATTTACAGTAAGATCTCTTCAGAGTTTAGACAAACCTTCCCTATCTCTGATCTCCACCTCACTAGCATACACCTCATAAACAACAGATTTAGGGTGGAGCTGACTACTTTGGGATTCTTTGTAGTTTCCCATAACCAAAAGAGTCCCAGTCAAGGACCCTTCTAGGGATCCTACTTAGGAGGGATGGCATCTAGGGAAGATCACACACCTACATACTCATTCTACAATTTTAAAAAGGACTCTACCAAAATCTGTATCACCTTCTTCATTGCCACAAAATCAGGGAAAGCTAAATGAAAACAAAGACTGTGACTTAAAGTTAGAAGTGAGTCTAGTAGATTTTCATTTCCATAAACTTCCAGGATGTGCAGGGAATTTGCCAGAGCAAGAGCATCATTATTATGAAAACAGTAATCAACAAGTATAAATCATTTATGAGAAGAAGCCCAGATTTGTTTTGTTTTGTTGATAACGTTGGAGCCACTGAAACATCAATAAATTAATAACTTAATGAATTATGCAACACTCTTATAAGGCTTTTTAATCTTATATATTTATACAAATGCCTTATAAACTTGTATAACACATATTTTCCACAAAACCAACAGCAGAGCACTAACTGGGTGTCAAGAGCCAAAGGACTATATACATGCACACACATTCCATGTATCTATACATAGAATCTATACACACACACACAAACACAGAGAGAGAGAGACACACAGAGCCCCTGCACAATGCTTCTCTCTATAAATATACTTCAGTTTTATTTGGGATTACGAGAGTTCACTTGGATTTAAGTTTACAGTGTTCCTTCTTAAGCTATGCATCAAGAGTAATAACAACAAACTCTTTAAACTATGCTTAATATGAGTACAAAAAAATCTAAGTTGGTTGCGTAAAATTTTGAAGTCCATTTGACTCACTGCAACCTGGATGATTTTTCTAAAGCATGAATCTAATCATGTCAATTCCCTGAACAAACTCATCTATTGTCCTCAAAATAAAGTCCAGTTATTTTAATATGGCTTTTCATCTTCATGACCTGACTTCTGCTTATTTGTTTGTTCAAATCCTGCTTCCTTGAACTTTTTGCTCCAGTACTAACTCTCAAAGCCTATCATTCTCTTTCTTACCTCTGGATCTTTGATTATGCCATTACTTCTGTCTAGAGAAGTTTCTACCTCCATTCATCAGGCTAATTCTGCTTCTCCTTTAGGTAGGTCTCAGTTAGACTCACTTCTTCTAGAAAGGCTTCCCTGTCTGAATGAGGTTCCCTTTCTCTGTCCTGCAGTGGCATCACGTAGACCACTGAACTTCATATGGACCATGTGGATCACAGTTTGGTCTTAAGGTCTGCCTACTTGTCTCCATCTCCTTACTAGACTCAGCTCTTTGAAGGCAAAGACCATGTCTTCATCATTATCATATTCTTAGCACCTAGTGCCTGGAACATAGTAAGCACTCCATAAATATTTTTCAGATAATTGAATGAGGAACAGGAAGCCAGGTTAGCACCAACAGTTACGGGTGGTATCTGTGCAAACTACCAAGTGTGAGTTAACTCTGGTCTACAGTTTCATTCACATTAGAAATGCGCTAGCCTCTGGTCACTTACCTAGATTCAAAGCCTGGCTCAGGACCTGCTTGTCTACCTACAAAGAATTCCTATCCCACACCACTGAACTGAAAACATTCTCAAGTGCTCAAACTTGACTATGCAAAACTTGGTTTCAAAGAAAATACCCACCTCCTTTGTCTCTTCAGAGAAAGCTTGCAGAATGTCTGTCTGTCTGGTGTAGTTGCCATTGGCGTCCTGCAGACCTTGCAGAATGCGCTCCCGCAGGACCAGCACTGAGACACGGAGCTGGTGCCAGAGGAGCTGCACCGCGTGGATGTCCACAATGACGTTGACGGAGTAGGACAGCAGCTTCAGGGAGAACTCTGTTTCAAGGAGGGCATGGATTTGCTCAACATGATCAGAAATATCTTCACAAATATCCTGCAATAAAGAAAAGCAAATAAATAATGACTCCTTTGTCTTATCCTGGAGAAGGTACAGTAAGAAGGTTACTCCTTCACCTAACACCAGTTATCAGGGCCAACAGGTCAGGTGAGCACATGTTGGACAGCTGGCCTTTGTTTTGGTTCAGATACACAGTCACAGGCTATATTCCTGGGCACTGGGCCTTCAGTGAATACAGGTCAGTTGATCTTTTTCTAAGCTACAAAAATCCTACTATCCTTTCAGACATCCAAATTGAAAGCTCAGCCAGGGTGAGAGGTTACCTCACAAATCTACTCTCTGTTCTATTTCCTGTTAGTTAGGATTCAGGTAAGGAAGCCAACAGCTCTTCTCTTTGTTATTGGTGAGCTTCACCAAACATAATATTTCAGGATAGAAGCATCATTTAGACACCTAGTACAAACAGAAACGAGCTAGAATGTGCGCTTCAAAGAAACTCCTAGTCATTCTCAGTGAGTCATGTTCAATGTAAGGAACAACTATTACATTCCCACAGGGACACAATTTAATATTTAATTTCCTAATGGATGGCCACACTTTGCAAGAGGAATCACTCTTAAGAAGGAAAGCCAGAGAATCCCCAAGGATAAAAAAAGATAAAATAATGATTTGTTTTGTTCTTAAGACCCAGACATTTAAATTAAAAACATTACTAAATAAAAGTTTCAACCTCCTCTACCCATACTATTAAGTAGGCAGATTTTATCCGATGTGTCACTTGTCCTTACAAGTTCCCACGTTTCCATTGTTCTGTCAGAGACCAGCAGCATGAAATGAGTAGCATCAATGGTAATACTTACTTGAGCAATTTGTGTCCCTTAAGCATAAGATGATGCAGATGCCAGTTAAAAGTGCTCAGTTACTCATTTTTAGTTATGTATCACTGATTTCTTTTAAATGGGGCTTTTATTTATGATTTTTATTTAAGCTAAAAGTTTAAGATAGCATTTGAATTCTGAGCCCTATCATGAGTATCTAAACATCCTATGCTAGAAATATAAACTTCTGATTTCATATAATTCAATTACTTGTTTTTAAAGAAAAACTAAAACATAACCTGTATTTAACAATGCATAAATAACAGGCAAAATAAAAACTATTGAATAATGATGGAAAGTTATGCTGAACTTTGAACAATAATTATTGTACAATTCCAATAAATGTTTCAAGATTAGTTCTTGAAACCAAAAACTAATTGGTGATAACGATATAAATCAGGGGTAATAACTTGAAACAGATTAAAAGTTTCAAGCTAAATAGACTTACCAGATATTCCACATAGCCTGGGGTCTCAGCTGATGCTTATTCGGACATCTATTCCATTTACCCCACACACCTCTTATTCCTGATACCTCAACCACCACCCCAAAGCAAATGCCCTGCATCCTTTGCCCTGTTAAGATGCTCATTTCTGTGCAGTACTTTGTTGCCTTGGAGAACGCCCTTCTTCCCACTGCTGACCTCTTCCAAAATCTAAGTAGTCTCCTGGCTAACAGCCCTACTCCACTGTAAAACATGCCTTAACTTCCTCACAAATGCTATCTCTTCTACCTCCTGGTCTTACCCAAACTAGACTCTGTCCAAGGCTCCTGCTTCCACCATTGCTCTCCCAGGGGAGGCTGATCATTCTCCCAGGCCTCGCTTAAGAGATGGGGAGGAGTATTGGAGAGGGGGGAGGTCACAGGGGAAGGATAGGTCTCAGTGTTTCTTTGCCACTTTCTGACCATTAATCTTTTGCCCTCATTCCTTTCTTCCATACACTTCTTTCTTCGTAGGTGCCTACTGTCTGCTAAACCGTCCTGTCTTCCTCATTGCTGTTACTTCCAGTTTCCTCTTCCACTCCTATGCACTGAAGAATGTATCTGACTCATCGTTTTCCTCTCCATACTGAGCATACCATTACATTAGTAATTTCAACATTCACACTTTTTCACACCCCCGTCTCGAATTTTCTTTACACCATAACTCCTAATACCACACCCATTCCCCTGGGATGACTCTGCCATGGCTCCATTCTGGACTTGCCATCACTCCACCTGTGGGACAACATCAGAAAGTTCCTCATGCTACCAACCTCCCTTTGTCCAACTTTTCCACTTTCATTCCCCCACTACAGGTACTCCTCCACCTCATCCAGGCCACTATCCCCTCCATTCCTTTTTCTCATTTACCTCCTGCCTCCTAGCACAGCCTCTACAGCCATCCCTTCCACCACTCTCTTGATTTCATAAATTAGATTTCTGAGTCTCTGTCTCTTAGGCCCCACTATGATCTTACAGGTACAGAATACATGACACATCTAGGAGAGAAAAAGGTTTGGATAACCCTTAAATTTAACGTCATCAAAATTGAAAATTTCGCTCTGTGAAAGATATTTTTAAGAAAAGGAAAAGTTACATACTGGGAAAATATTTGCAAATCACATACCCAACAAAGGAGTTATATCCAGAGTATATAAAGAATCCTTAAAACTCAATAGTAAGAAAACAACCAACCCAATTCTAAAATGGGCAAAAGACTTGAACAAACACTTTACCTAATAATGATGGTAAATAAGCACGTGAAAAAATGTTCAGCCTCATTAGCCATTAGGGGAACGCAAATTAAAACCACAAAGAGATACCAGTATATTAGAATATTAGTATATTAGAATGAGTAGAATAGAAAAATTACTGACAGCATCAAGTACAGAGGAGCTCCAGAGTAACTGGAACTCTTCTACGCTGATGGTAAAAACAGAAAATGGTATAGTCACATGGGAAAACATCTTAGTAGCTTTTTATGAAGTTACACATACACTTACCATAAGACCCAGCAAGCACACTCCTGGGTGTCTATCCTAGAGAAATGATAACTCAGGCACACACAAAAATGCAAAGAAGCTCTATTCCTAATCACTAAAAACTAAATGTCTTTCTGTAGATAAATGGATAAACAAACTATGGTACATCTATACAATACACAGCAATTGGAGAAAATAAAGGAATTACTGATACCTGCAACAATTTGGATAAATCTCAAAAAGCATTATGCTAAGTGAAAGAGGCCAGTCTTAAAAGGTTACACGCTATATAATTCCATTTATGTAACATTCTCAGATGACAAAATTATAGTGATGAAAAACAGATCAGTGGTTGCCAGGGAATTGGGGTATGGATAGCATGACTACAGACTGATAGCAAGAGGGGATTTTTTGAGGGTTTGGAACTGTTCTGTATCCTGACTGTGGAGATGATAATAGAAATCTACACATGGGTTAAACCTGTAGAACTGTACATCAAAGTAGAAACAATTTTGCTGTATGATAATTTTTTAAATAATAAAAAATACAAAGTCAATTTACACTCTCAGCAAAATGCATATACAAATTCATTTTGGGTCATACATTCCCTTCAGATTCTTGGAAATTACAACTCACACAGCTCTGAAGGTCAAGGCACAACTATCATCATCTCTGATTTTGTAACATCCACACTGTTTTCTAGTAGTATAAAAGAAAATGAAGCTAATTTGGAGCCCACCTCAAAGTGAATTAAAGCAAATGACAGTGGTTAACAATGTATCTTCGAAGTCATATAACATTTTTTCCCATAGACATTACTGTGTTAATGTGGGTAAGTGATGCTATTTTCTTGTTTAATTCATATACAGCACAGTAGCCCCTGTGGCATTCAGAATTACTCACAGTATAAAATGCACTGAATACATTATGTTGCCAACTGCCCGCTTCACTCAACCTTCTTGATATCTTGTGCTCTCAAAGTTGCAGCTGCTGCTGCCTGTCACTGAAATGGAAATCTGTGGTTACTGAAGTAGCTGATATAAACACTGACTTGACCTGAGACTGTTTACAAATAAACCCCAGCTAGTTGGGTCAGTTATTTTCTTTTAATTTAGTTGTATGTTTATGTGAGAGAGGTGTCTTTTCTTCCTTTCTTTTTTTGCAAGACTGTTGTATATGCATTTTCCAGTTATATCTTACTTCTTCTAGATAGATATAGGGCTTTTAAGATAACTGTTATGCATTTAACCAGTATGTTGTTTTCACCAGCATGAGAAAGAAATGAGGGTGCCTGTCCTGTGAGTGCTTTAATTGCCTACTGTAATAACACTAACTGTGACTGCCTCAGCTCCTGCTAACTGTCCCTGGGAGGGGACCTGTTTGCTGCCTTGTCATAAGGTAACCATGGCCATTCTCAACTATTCTCAAAACATCTTGAAGGTTTCCTTTTGAAATTACAAGTATCCGTGGATCAACATTCTGCCAAAGTGTCTCAAACTGCCAGTCTCCAAGGGCTCCGTGTGTATCTAGAGGGCAGATAAACTTCCAGCCACTTCCTTGCCCAGGTCCTGAAGCAACACTTGGCATCCAGTTTCACTAAGTCCCACAAATGCAGCCCTTCCCACTTCTCTCTGCTTCCTGCTTCTCGCCATGCGTTTCTCCAAATGAGAAAACAGAGCAAACCCCTCAATACCTAAAACCTGCCTCTCCAAGGAACAGTGATTGGCAATAATTTTTGCATTCATCTACAATCCAAATGTTTCTTTCTCTTTCCCCCAAATAATGTCACTGTTTCTCTCAAAAAACACTCTTGACTTACATTTGTGTAACTGCAGGACATTCATATGGTTTTTCTAAAATGAACGTTGAGTTAAAACCTACTTCTAAAGACTAGGTCTCCTCATTTCCACATCCATCTTTTTGCTTTTGGAGTAGCAAAAACCTTGAACCCTCATCTTATTCAGAGCATATCATTACATTTAGAATAAAGAGTTGTTAATGTTCTAACATCAGTAAGCAAGAGAGAAGTAAATATAAGACGTATTTTGTATACATATTTTAGTCTTATTGCAAAATGCCACGTCATCATGACTGTTCATTTTGTTTACTAGCAATTGTAGAAATGAGTGATTAAAGTGTCTTTTACCCATCTGCTCACCATATGCATGTGTGTTCATTAGGAAAAGCTGAGAAG